TAGACAACGCGCATAACTCGCAGTTTGCTACTTTTATCCAAATGAAACGAACTATCAAGAAGCGTTTTAACAAAACGGCTACGTCAAGTGGATGAAGAATGTTATAACGTATTTATAGCAATCTGCTGTCGTTGCTCAAATATGCAGGACTGATTACTTAAGTGATATCTGTGCAGTCTTTACCCATCCTGTTTTAAATTGTAAACTTCTTATATTTACTGACGTCGTTTTATCGGATTTGTGGTAAATAGTGTAAAATGTTGAAAATGCTTACATCTGGGTGCATAAAGCTTTCTTTGACTTGACTTGACACATTTATTCGTAAGCACTTATCACATTGATCCAATTGCCACCGATAAACTCCTACCATTAGTTACATTGACCAGTCCTTCGTTTTCGGATCACCATGATCATGCCTTTGCAGGCGTGCCTTGAATTGTCGAGAATAACAGATTTAATTAAGTATTTATTTAGTTATCCGGTTTTGATCAAATAACGCTCTGAAAACAAAACACAAAACGTCAGAACCATTTAAGAGTTGCGAAAACCTAACCATTTCTAAGCAATTTTGCACGCAAGATATTCCTTTGCTATTTTTGATGTTTTCCTGCGTGCGCTTTTCTTATCCGTCACTACATGCGCCATCTCACCCCTGCGATCAACAGAGACTCGCGAACGACGCGTCAAACTAGTGCTGAAGTCAATGGGGAATCAAGCAGGAAAAGTGATCAGTTTTCGTCAGAAGAGAGTTAATCTTAAGCAGGTAGGATGCAGCGGGGAGGGGGAGGGAGGCAACACACAAGAGCTCCATTTGGCCGCCGCGCAGGTTGATGTGCTGTCGGGTTCGTTTGAGTTTATGAGTTTTTCGGGAGGCTAACAAGGCCACAACAACAGTAATGGCGAGGAAGTCAATAATTTTGTTGCCGTAGTACAACAACGGCAACAAATGAGACCGGAATTAACGACGGCGCCAGGGGCGAATGACTCTAGGCAACAATTACGAGCTGGAAATGGTTCACGAACGATAAAAGACATCGGGGCCATGCCGAGAAGAGAGGGGAACGTAGTGGTAGAGAGCCCATTTTCCGGAGGGATACACTTTTGGTCACGCTCCGATGAATAACTGCAAGGAGGGCGACGTAATCTTGATTGAGTAAATCGACAAGAGCTATCAAATGACCCCTAGCAAACCAAAATAGGATGGATAGAAGCGGAGATTTGGGTGATACACAAAATTTTACGCAATGGCGCAATTTGTGTAGGCACATAAATGTGTCGCAAGCGGATTCAGGAAAAGGGTGATGCGTCCTGGGAGGGAAACGCGACCCATGTCTCTGTGAATGCGTGAGTGAGTTAATCGCCCGTTTTTGCGTCAATAAGGATTGTGCTTCAATGCAGTGTCGTTCTGATACCCTGGTGCCCCGAGCTTACAGAACGAAGTTGACCTGGCCAATGCAATCTGCGGACCTGGACGTTATCTATGTCGGGTCGGTGGTGTGTACCTTCCCTAGAGATAACTCCTGTGGGTGTCGTAGTCCGTGCGATATTAGACATGGGAGCGGGTGTTTCCATTGTGAAAATTTTCGACGGTGGCCCTTTAGCTCAGTTATGAATCGCGATTCAAACGATCGGAGGCCACCGGTTGAAGGTAATAGGGGCACAGAGATTGCGCGTGAGAATTGGGAAAACGGTCATTAGCTATTCCATATTTGTCATCGAGGCGGCAGCGGAAACAATCATCGGTAACGACACACTCAGGCGGCTTGGTGCGACGATTGATTTGAGAGTGTTGTGGTAGTGGGCAGCGAAACAATCGAGTTGAGCACAGGGAAATACAAGCAGATAAATGCCGTGACGGTTCTTCCCGAGTGCCCGAACCGCACAATACAGGGTGTGCTACACAAGTACACGCATTTGTTCACAGATGCGAATGATGATAACGGATTCTGCAACTGGGTAGAACACTGGACAATCCTAATCCCAGGTGGGCAGTGCAAATTGATTTTCAAGCGGATAGCCCAGAACACTTACAGTTACAGGTGGTTGAGATGGAGGCCAAAGTGAACAAACTGTCTGTATTCATCACCCGTATTGCCGACGAAAAAGGTGGACGGAACCTACGGATGCTGCATTGAGCCAAACAGTGACGATGAAAGATGCATTTCCGGTGTCATAAATGGAAGAAACTGTTTCCATCCTTCACAGTGCCAGGCTGATTTCATTGATAGACCTCCTTTAGGGATACTGGCAACTTCCCATCGCACAAGAAGATCGGTATAAAACAGCTTTCATTGTGAACGGCCAGCAGTATGGAACTTCGAGAATGCCGTTTGGATTGTGCAGCGCCCCGGTGACATTCAGGCATTTACTGCTGTTGATCCTGGAGAACCTCTAAGATGTGGTGGTCTATGGAGAGAACATCATTATGTTCTCGGAAACGGAACATGAACATGGTACCCGACCCTCAGCCGTACTACAACGACTGGAGAAAGCCGGTGTGAAGCCTAGTCGCAAAAAGTCACATACTGTTCAAATGTCCATAGTGTGTTTGGGCCACGTTGTGGGGAATGGCCAAGTTCAGCCGCTTCCAGAAAAACCCGAAGCAGCCAAGAATTTCTCAGCCCCAAAACCTAAACGTCAGCTCCGGTCGTTCCTCGGAATGGTGGCATATGATACGAAATTCGTGCCCCAATTTTCGGAGATCAGCCCATTATTAAATATACTGCACAAAACGAGTAGTTCGCTTGGGCACCTGAAGCGGATCGGACCTTTAACTACCTGAAGGAATACGTTGCAGAGGCGACAGCATATTTACGGCTACTAAAGCCTGGTGAAAGATTCCCGGTGGTGGTTTATGCAGTCATTATACCAATCGGAGCTGTACTGTCCCAACCAGCCGGTGTGAGCGTATACGGCGGTACAGTGCTGACCAGTGAAGCACATAATTACTCCACGACGGAGAAGGAATGCATTATCATCGTGTTGGCCTTAGAGAAACAGAGAACATATCTTCTAGCGACTGAATTTCATGTCGTTACTGACTACAACCAGCTATCGTGGTTAATGACGAGAGTTCCGCGGGGACGACTTGTACGGTAGGCGTACCGGCTCCAAAAATTCTCCTTTACCATTGAACACATAAATGGAACGAAGAAAGTAATACCCGACATGGTATCGCGCCTATCTCTGGACGACATCTTCCCGTATAATGCCATACCGGTGTCTAGTATCACCGCCGCGGGTCGAAACCCACTGGAAAGTCGAAGTGCGGTTGAATTGATGAGGCTATTGTGTGCTCAACTACAGTCCGGGACCAAGCTAGAGGAAACATCGGGAGAATTGGAGGAACTCCTCAGGATCTGGGACAAACTTGGTGTCGCAAACGGCACCCAGTCGGTGACAACAAACAGAACGAACGTGCCTTTTAGCCCCCAGCATTAACGGGGGCGGGTGATGCGAGTGCTCGGTGATGGCCCCCATATGGGATTCGGGAGAGCCTTCGACCTGCTGTGGAAGAGAGAGTTTTGGCCAATCGTGTAAAGGACTTTACGGCGTACATTCGTAGACACCCGACTTGTCAAAGAAACCATCATGTGTGTGTACCAAGACCACGATGTAGTTTATCAAAGTCAATCAACCATTCCAATTTTGGGGATTGGACGTCTTTGGACCTTTGCCGATCGGTGGGTCAGGAAACAGGTACATCCTAGTGATGCTTAACCATTTCACTCGATGGGTAGAAACCGTGCCGATCAGGGATCAAACCAGTGAGACGGTGGCACAGGTATTTGCATTCAATGTACCCGAGAGGTGGAGAATACTACAGTGTGTTAGTACCGACCGATATGGGCTCTTGGAACTGGTCGTGTCCGCTCCCATGTTGTTCACGTGGCCGGCTTGATAAACTCATGCCATTGATTTGTTTAGCCAACGCTATCATCCATTATCATTCATTTGACTAGGTCTGTCTTTGTTTGTGATTGGCTGCATGGCGTGCACATTCATTCGATTTTTGTGCCGTGTTTTTATTTGTGTCCATACTATCAGTCAGTTGGGTTTGTTTTCTTTGGAGCACCGTAGATTAAGAGGCAGTCTGATAGACAGTTAAATTTATGTAGGGCCTCAATTGCATCAAACGTACTCAGAGGTCAGGGGGGTGTTTCGCTAAATACCATTGCAAAACTTCCAGATAAGCTGAGGGTTGAATATGTTAATGGTACTTCGTATTACCAGTAACGTCCTCGCGCTAAATGTCACACCTGTGTACATGTTCTCCCCAGCGATCTCGTTATTTGTTCCATTGTGGTCACTGACCAAATTTACCTCAGTGTCCCAAATGAGCATCCACTTCATCGAAAGACAATGTGCACTTTACCCTGAGCCCTGTTTGAGATTTTACGGATTTACAACTGAAAAAGTAAGGCGAAAATGTTCCCACCACCTTTGGCGGCAAAACTAATTGCTGCGCCACTAAACCTACTAAATTGTTTGAGCTGGTTACTTCCTACCACCTCCGCGGGCATCGTTTGAAGCTCAAATAACGGATAGATTAGATACCAGAATAAAGATTTTTATGAACCGTTTTGCGAGCCTGTGGTATGCTTCAAAACAGACTTAGATAAGTGTTGGCCAAATCTTTCTTCCGCATCGAGCGTAACTTTTTGGAATTTGTAGCAAGGATACCTCGTCTAATGAAGTTGTTATTGATCCATGAAAACAGAAAGATTACTCTTTTCAGGGAGCCGATCAATCGTCGAAGTGACAGAGGCTGTGGTCCGCTTACCTATACGAGAAGCAGGACGCTAGTTAGCCGGGAGCCCATGCCGTGCTTGGATCTTGACCAGCCTGACTTGAGCTGACTTCTGGTTTCTGTATCTTCGAACACAAGAGGACCAAATGCTTCACTTACTGCATTTAAATGGAACTCAATTTAAGATTTATATATTTATCTACCCAAGTTCAGTTGAAGACGAAAGAAGTATTTACACCGTACTTATCCCATTTGATTTCCTATACAAACTAGTACACTGTTGAGTTACACTCTTGTTACGGCTCCTCTCGTTATTTTGACTATCGAAGTGAGTGGAAGCGATTCGCGGGCCATGCACACTGATGGACGTCGTGAGCTATTCATTCTACCCATGATGTTAGTCACTACACATCGAAATGCCCTAAACGCCATTGGCGGGTAACTTGTGATTTATGGATGCGCTTCCGAATAGGCTGATAAAAATGTTTTGAGTACATTTACTACAACTTCCCCATTGCAAATCTCAAGTATCTTTTGCGCAGTTCCATTGGTTACGTCAATTTAAAAAAGTACTGGAACATAATGAAAGTTTTCTTGTTCCGAATGCCGTTCTCCTTTGATTATTTATCCTTTAATCACACTCACTCAGTGGTGTAATTTTGCTCTACATGCAACCCTTGATAGGGTACGGGTTCGGTTTATCACGTTTGTGCTGTACTTTGAAGCGGATTATACACATAATTCAGTTAGTTGCATATGGCTCCGTATTGGTCACTGTCCCTGTCCGATCTCCAGTTTCCAAGACCATCAATTCAAGCGGATATATACAGTGGCTGGAGTTGACGGGGCCAGAATTCAACAGTGGGATGTAAGTGACTGGTTAAACCGCCATTCGTCGTAGTCCACACTCAGGGCAGAATTTAGCTGTGGCATTTGGAAATGGGCTTCCGCACTCCAAGCAGAATTTGTTCACCTTTCCGTCCGACCTTCCGCAAACTTCCTTTGTTCGGTATTTATCAACTGTTCCGTTGATTCTGCACAGGAAGGGAATAAATGAGAAGCAACATCATGATCATAAGAGCACTTTGGAAAATAAATTGTTTTTTTTAACTAACTAAACACTGAACCTAACCAACTGTTTGCCAACCTGTCTGCTGTATTACCAGGTCTTCTGCATGTCCGTCGTGTGCATCCTGTCGGATCATCCGAAACAGTTTCATCAAACAAAGAATCGCCATCTTGTGGCAGTTTAGGTTCGTGTCCGTCTGAACGCAGCGGAACAGTCGCCTCCGATGGATTTCTGCTAGACGTTTTTTCCCCTAGACCGGTATATTTAAATCCTTCGTCATTGTGTTTTCGATTGCCACCGGCAGCAATGAACTTTTGGAGTCCTACCGGTGTAACTTGCGCAGTCCCAATAGGGTGGCGTTGTCCGGTAGGCAATCTCACACATTCTCCTACTAGGTCACGGGCTAACTCCTTGGCATTTAGATAATCCTCGTGTGTACGACCGGAGCGCAGTGCTAACCCATTCTGCCTAGATAAGGTGGGATGGTGTGCCTTGAGCTGACCTATTGCGGAACTCGTTACTTCGGCTGTGCATGGTTCGTGTGCTGAAGTTGAGGGAGATGATACTCGTTTCGGTGGTCTGTTCCAAACTGAAGGCCGTGTGCTTTTCCGCTGCAGTTCCGACAGCATGTACAACTCTCCCGCGGACACGTTTTGTGGAGTTCTCTCATCCCTGATCTGCTCGTGTTGCAGCTGCTTCGGTGAATATGGAGTGACCGTTTGCAACCGACCAAATGAGTTATCTACCGGAAGTTTTACACCGTGTTGTTTTGTAGTACCATGTCTTGTGAAGCTTACACACCTAGTGTTGCCGGAGGACGGATTTTTCAATACGTCCCTTCCCACCATCGGTTCACCGGGCGAGGCGGGGATGTTCTTTGACTATGAAAGGAAGGTTGCAAATTAAATGTAAATTATAATTCAATCAAATGATAGAATGATGTATTGTCGGCTTTAAGACTGCATTCATTCAACTCACAGGCATCCCCAGAAAGCTCATTATCCCACTTTTCCATTATATTTGGTTTTTCAAAGCTCTTCAGGACTAGCATTTCCTTCAGTTTTTACATTAGTCACTATCGCAATACTTCCCACAACTGACCCCTTAGAAGCGAAGGCATCTGAACTGGCAGCTATCCAATCACCCGTTCCCGCATCATCGCCAATGATGAAATAGGCCAACCGTGAGGCGCTCGACAGAAAGATCTTGGCCGATTCATTTGAAATGTCACGCACTGGATGGAACGCACATGCGTTGTCGCCTCATGGCAGAAAACATCTATAGGATTATTAATACTGTGACGTAGTCAGTGATAAAAGCGGAACCAATATTTATTCTTCACTTCCATCATCATCATCATCATCATCATCATCATCATCATCATCATCATCATCATCATCATCATCATCATCATCATCATCATCATCATCATCATCATCATCATCATCATTGGCGATACGGCAGTTAATAAAACAGAAAATGGGATCCAGAGCACCACCTAAGTATTCTGCCAATTACCGAGTAGCAAGGCACCAGCACTGTCAACACAGGGTCATTAACACGGGCGCCGGTGCGAAAATAAGGTGAAGTCGGCAATGTCAGCTCTCTGGAAATATTCATTGCCGACGTCCTAATCATCCTCACCTCACAGACAACGCAGCATTAGGCACACTCTGAAGACAACACCAAATGCGATACCGGATCTGCATGCAAACAGTGCCCCTCAAAGTCCGTAGCTATTAACTGGGTGAGTTGTGTGGACTCCGGAACGGAATGCGATACGGAATAAGGTGCAACTAGCACAGTTGTCAGCGGGCTTGCCGATCTCGAACTTTGTGTCATCCTGCGTCCATCAAACAAAGCATGAGCCTTCTGGGTAGGCGGTGACCAGGCCTACCTAGCACAAGCCGAAGCCAAAACAACGTATTCAATGTTATTTATTGCTTTAAGGATTAACCTTGATTATCTCCACCTGGTACTCACATGTGTATTTTATCGTTGTGGACATGTCGGGGATGATTTCGCAGCTATTTTCAATGATGACACTTCTGACGGACGCCAAAAACTGGTACTATTCCTACTATGATTTCTTCAGATGGCACAGCTGGACCAGCACCAGGCCAGTAGCAATTTGTTCTCAATGCACCAACTATCACCTTGTCCCCAATTCGGCTAGAGCTTCCAAGCGATAAATTGTTTCCACCCATGAACTTACTGGTGGTAGATCTGCTTGCAACATGTTTGTACTCAACCCAATCCCCATAGACCTCTAAGTGCTTATTATAATCCAAGCATCATAACGCTCCCGTACACCGACGAATCCAAAGCATATGCATATGAAGCTGACACCGAACTATTTCAACAACTATTGAAATGGACCAAGGTTGTGACTTTGCACGAATCGGCTGGCTAATCGCTCACCACTGAAAACGTTGTTTTGTCACTCTTTCTCAGCTGCAGTTTGTCACACAAACGTAAGTTTACATACACTTGACCCAATTACATCAGCGCTATCTAGTGCATCCCATTTTCGGATCTAGCTTGTGTGGATCGCCTTTTATCTCCACATTGCGGTTTTCCCACCATTCCCGTAAAAAACAGGATCTAGGAACTTTCCAATCACGAATCACGAATCAATATTTTTGGTCTCAAAAGAAAGCCAACTACAGGTTTCATCCGATGAGTCAGTAGCCAGAGCTGTAAACCGTTCATTAAAGTAACTATCGCAGACTTTGTGCCCATATCGCTCAGTCGCTCAGTTTGCCATCTGAACGGTCTAGCCGCTTAAACCTGCCCCGGCCGGACGCAAAGAACGCGACGATCTTGAACATGCGGACACTTACGGGCACCCGCAACCCGCAGGAAACCAGAGGCGCTCGGGTCTTGATCGGAATAGAATCGATCGACGAAGAGGATTATGGCGACCAATTAAAATCCCATGCGGCCACATCCAGATGGACAGTAGTTGGTGGCCTTCCTGCATACCATAAAAAGGTACGAACTGGAATACAGTGTAGCAGTTGCCAAGGCAAGTTCCATCGCAAATATTCCAAGCTCACATCGAAACAGTTGGAGCTACATAATAGTAAAACATATTCACAGTGCTTCTGTTCAGTAATTACAGTCATCCCACTGGTGAAGCTTGTACATGAACTATCCCAGGAGTACTAAAGACTGGTAGTAATGATGGAACAAATGAAGCGCACCAAAAACGATAATTCTGAAGAAAGCGTGACAGAGAATAAATCCCAGTCATTCCCCTTAGGCCTCGCATTAAGACTGAAGAAGAAGGCTGCGCAATGCGCTAAAAATGCACCAGCTATGGCTTTAAACGTTAATACCCCCAGTTGCTTGAATATGACTGGAACAACCCCCTCCAGTCCGATTGCAATGAGCGTGGTCAGAGCTTTGTCCACTCTCCGAACGGTTCCGAAAATGCCGAAGGACTTAGACACGAATGGTAGTTGGAGCTTGGTTGCTGCCAAAGGTGACCTAAAAACAAGACCTTCAGCTACTCACACTTGACGCAGATTAACTGAAGAAGACGGTGCTGTACCCACCCAGCCTTCATCGGCTGTATAAAGCCACGCTGATCGTTTAACTTCAACCCGAGTTGCATGTAGCATCCCAACGGTAAGCTGCATCAAAGTTCCAGAATCAAAGACAAATTCCTGAAAATGAAAGTAACTTGCGGACGTGAACCAGTGGAACTACCTATGTAACATTTTAAGTGTTGTAGCTAAGCCCAACAACTTGACACGCCTTACCCGTCGCCCAAACTCACAGCACTACGGTGAACTGAGACTACTTCGAATTGTGTTGTCTTCCGCCAATGAAGCAGAAGCTGTCCTGCTATCAACATCTCGCTTCCGGAATGAGTCGTGTTCCATCCGTCTATTCCGGGTTATTCCGTGGAGCGAGCGCAACCAGTGAAGCACTACTTCGATGAAAACTTGAAGGAATCCGTAGCCAGGACCATCTTGGTACACGGCGTTCCCGAGGCTGGAAGTCATGATGAGCGCGAAGGGACCACTCACGACCAGGACCAATGGTGATAGGTAGGCGTAACCATCTCGCTGGTAAACGTCAAAGCGCAACCTATCTTCAGGCTGCGCCGAGCGTCAAACTACAATGGATGTGGCCCGAGGCTTTCGAAAGTACTCCTTTAATCCGGACAAATGTCAGCAATGATGCTGGAAAGCTGGTATACAGGCCGCAGCAACCTCCCTTCCAAACCCCGGATCAAGCAGCATCTGCTAAGCAAACACACGAGAGCAGCCACTTAGTCGGACAACTTCCCGACACCAGTTCAGATAACCTCAAGTAACCAGCTAGCGAAACTGGTAAACACACCCCATACGCCAACTGCAAAGAGAGAAGCAAATAGGTAATGATGGGATACATGGATCCGACGCAAATGTGCTCGTCATCGCCACACTCATAAAACGATTAGTGGCCGACCTTTCACCGGTCGCCCCAACATTTTACTCAAAACACGCATCCCACCATACATTGCTAAGAACAGAGAAAGTTTCCTGCATGTACACCCAGGCACTCAGGAAGTGAACTGACTACTGGTTGGTTCGGCCGAACTGTACTCCACCGGCCGCGTCCCCAAGTTGCGGATCTGGGAACGTCTTCCTTGTGTAGGTAAATGTGAATAAGTCTCGGCTGTTCGCAGGCGAGATGAATAAACACTCGCGGAAAATCAGTGGCAGCGTCCTAGAGCGTGGGAGGTTCTGGGCTGGTCACCTGTTTCCTCATTAACTACCACAAGAGCTCGCAAGACGCTATGTCAAGACCAATGTGAGCGGCTAAAGGGTCACTGACCACTCACTTCTGGTCACAGAAGTAAGTACTTAACGGAGGGCGGATGAACAATATTGATGGCCACCGGCTTCTAGAAAGGCGTATGAGCCACGTGGCTGTCAACGGCCTTCGTGCTTCGCGACGAGCTCGGTAGTCCTTGCTGCTTCACTGGGTCTCTTTGGGCGTCCTGAGTAGTTTGCTTCTACTCGAAAGCCTTTCACCTAGAGAGCCGGCTCTCAAAGGTCGCGGTATACGCAAATTGCCCTGCTGCCTTGCGAGATAAGCCTTTACGACCCAAGGCTCCGGTTGGGTCCCCTAAGTCAACCCTCTTCCTCGGCCTGGCCAACCGGGAAGTACTGTGTCCACACAACCTATGGATCTAAGTCTCAACAATGCTTAGCTCGCCCTCTCCGCTCTCGCTCTAACCGATCACACTCTCTAAAACTGCCCTCATCGTCCGAGGTGCTGGCGGCTAAGCCTGTCAAACCACCTTTTGCCGCACCAAGGTTTAGTCACTTTATTCCACGTTTGTGCAACCGCATTCTTGGTTGTCCCCCCGTTTTCTAGTTCACAACATCATGCCGGCTTGGGCGAAGGTTCTCGCTATACGGATCAGGAGCCTAGGTCCGAAGATGCGACAAGTCATGTTGACAAGCCATTTCTAGCTTCCCGTTCCTAATTCAAGCTGGCAACCTTGACTCTTCTGACGCTGATGCAGATTGGATCACAGGCAGGCCTTGCTCGTACTCTTGCAACTACGGCCATTGATGTCTGCTGTCTCAGCCAGGCCCATCTACAGGGCTTTAGCACGACAATGCGACTAGTTTCATTGTCTGAGAATTCCACTGGCACGTACCCTTTGCGCCTATCTGGAGATTCGACCGCCTAAGCCGCTGGTTATGCTGGCGTGGGGATAGCGTGGGGCAGACGTGCTGAAGCCGCGCTACTAGACTGGATCCCTGTTAACAGTCGAATATGCGCCATCCGACTTGAAACTTCAGTGCCACTGTCCAGGTGCGAAGTGAGCAGAAGCTGACTATTCATTGTCGCAGCGTACAATCTCACAGATTGC